ATATATATATATATATATATATATATATATATATATATATATATATGTGTGCAAAATTTTTCGTGCTTTCTATATTTTTGACATTTTTTTATAAATAATTCTAACCCCTTCAATTTCCTATTTCCGTTTTTTGTATCTCTTACATTGACGGGAGGGGTTGGAAAAATCCATATAGTACCCCTTATGCGAGACCATCAATTCACTAACGTGAAAAGCAAAACGATTTCTTCTGGTAATTTAGTAATTCAATTTTCAGTATCCAGATAACGCCTCCAATTTCATATGGAACTAGCTCAACGATCAGAGTTACACGAACAACCTTAAATTAGATCGTAGATAAGTAATAACCAAATCCGGCACTCGATACTCATGAAATGTTGTTCATCATATTTATTTAAGTGGTTAAATCAGACTGCTACCTGAAGCACGCGGAAGATGTGTCAATCTCCCCCACATCTTAATTTGTTCCCCTCATCTTTTGTGCTCTATTCCTAATATTCATCGCAACTTCAATGACGTTACAACAATGAATATGAGGAATTATAGTAAAGCCCAAATCATGACGTTATTCCTGAATATTTCATTCGAATTTTTCTCAAACACTCCGTGCACTAAAAATAAGCCCATCGGGTACATGTAGTGCATATATCTATAGTTACAGCTATGTTTATACAAATAAGCATACAAGGTATATAAAACACACTAGGAGCATATTGATTGTGTTGTAGGTATTTTATAGCTATAACTATATCTGTCTCTACATGCATTTAGCTGTATGATTCGGTAACTTGAAACGTTACATGGTTTTTTTGGAAGGGTTTGAAGCCATTGAAATGTTCGAGCATCTTCACCTCGAAATTCCTTCCATTCACCAATATACTTGTCATAAAAATTATAACAATTTCATCAATTTCCGTAATATTCCTTCTCAGGTGTGACGACAAGTTTAAGATTTCCCGGTCAACTGAATGCAGACCTGCGTAAGTTGTCAGTAAACATGGTGCCTTTTCCCCGTCTTCACTTCTTTGTGCCGGGTTTTGCACCCCTCACAGCCAGTTCCAGTCAGAGTTATCGTGCAATCTCAGTGGGCGAACTCACTCAACAAATGTTCGACTCCAAGAACATGATGACAGACTGCAATCCCAATCATGGCAAGTACTTAACAGTAGCCGCCATTTTCAGAGGGAAATTGTCTATGAAGGAGGTGGACGAGCACATGCTCAATGTCCAGAATAAAAACTCTGCTAAATTTGTGGAATGGATTCCCCAAAATATCAAAACAGCTGTCTGCGATATTCCACCCACTGGGATGTTGATGTCAGGTACTTTTCTGGGGAACACAACTTCGATTCAAGATCTGTTCAAAAGGATTTCCGAGCAATTCAACGCCATGTTTCGTCGCAGGGCTTTCCTCCATTGGTATACTGGAGAAGGAATGGATGAGATGGAATTTACTGAGGCTGAGTCGAATATGTCTGATCTGGTATCTGAATATCAGCAGTATCAAGAGGCTGACATTGATGAGGAAGTCTTTGTTCACGGAGACGGGGATGAAGACGACCAATACTCGGAGTAAACATTCCACGTATCGTATTAAATCTATTTATTGGGGGTAATTTCTTTTGGTCCAGGTGATGGATTGGCGAGAAAATTATCACTGCGGCAGTTAAGTGGCAAAACGTGATGAGTAATTGTTCTTCTTATGAAATTATCAGTTGGAATACCCCGGCACCTTCAAAATTATTGGATATTTCCCGAAAGCTTCGTTATAAACAAATGAACAGCACGAGGGATTTTTCTGCAAAACTTGACACACTGTTTTTTTTTGCGGGAAGCTTGAGGGAAATATCCGATGAATTTTGAAGGTCAAACGGTATTCGGAGGACAATTTCTTCAATTCTCATTTTGGCCGATCAGCGTGCGGTGCGGTGTCTTCTGTCAGGTGCGGTGCTCGAGGTTACGGGACATATTTCACCAAAATATGAGGAATATCTGTCAAATTTGTAGAAATCAATTGACAGGCTACAGAGAAATGATCAGTCTGATAACACGGTTCGATAAAAAAACCCTTGGTATTTGCCCGCAGGATGGAATCAAGTGCACTTTATAGATTTTGATATGTAGATTCAGGATCTGGCCTTGTTTTGTCTCTAACACGTCTAGTTTTTGAAAAAATAAATATTTAAGTCGCTGAAATGACCGAAAATGCACGTCTTTGACATTTAATAATCTGGTGATCAGGAAAACTTATAATCCAGCAAAAATTGAGAAAAAAATACAAAATTTAATGAACAAACTGGTGTCTCGGGATTTTCATTTGAATGGATGGAAACGGAATTAAAAAAATGTAATGAAAATGAATTTTCGGTACTTGTTAGGGTTATTGAGTGTTATTTGTTTTGTTCGATGTAGTTATCTAATGTCATAATAAATTAGGTTTAAAAATACTTGCTCATGGAACCAATACAAATATTGCAGAATATTAGATTAGGTTTTCATCCCCCTAGTCAAAAATACAGGAGCGTTTCAATTATAAAATAAATAAGTTTTATTTAATTTCAGAAAAGATTGAACGTTAAGTAACATGAAAATCAAATTCATTGCAATTGGAGAGAAAGTACATAAGAGATTTTTATTCGTCAATCACTTTGGATCGCCAGGGTGAAGTTGAATGAAATTTTCTCCATTTCCAAGCGCTCTACATGAGCTGTATTTTTGACTAGGGGGATGAAAACCTAATCTAATATTCTGCAATATTTGTATTGATTCCAGGAGCAAGTATATAACCTAATTCATTATGACATTCCATAACTACATCGTACAAAATAAAAAACACTCAATAACCCTAAAAAGTACCGAAAATTCATTTTCATTACTTTTTCTTATTCCGTTTCCATCCATTCAAATGAAAATCCCGAAACACCAATTTGTTCATTAGATTTTGTATTTTTTTCTCAATTTTTGCTGGATTATAACTTTTCCTGATCACCAGATTATTAAATGTTAAAAATGTGCATTTTCGGCCATTTCGAAAACTTAAATATTTATTTTTTCAAAAACTAGACGTGTTAGAGACAAAACAAGGCCAGATCCTGAATCTACGTATCAAAATTTATAAAGTGCAGTTGATTCCATCCTGCGGGCAAATACCAAGGGTTTTTTTTGTCGAATCGTATAATTTCTCTACAGCCGGGGAAATTATCAGTGTGAAACGTGTCACGTGTCCCCGAATACCGCACTCTGATTGGCCGAAATCAGAATTGAGGAAATTGTCTGAATTATTTTTTAAATTTTTATTTCGACTAATCAGAGTCCTGTATCCAGGGTCACGTAACACGCTTCATACTGATAATTTTCATGTAGTTTATCAATTGTTTTCTAGGAATTAGGTAAATATTTCTCACATTCTCGTGGAATATGTTACGTTATCCCGAATTACAGTAATCGTCCAAAATCAGAATGTAAGTAATAATCCTCCGAATACTTCTCGACCTTCGAAACTCATCGGATATTTCCCTCAACTATTCCTGCATATCAACAATTGAGATAAGTTTTATAACAAAACTTTTCGCGCTTCACGCTGGGGATTTTAATTTGCAAAACAGATTCTTCTTGCTGATGTACAACGAAGTGATTTGGAAATGTCAGATAATTTTCTAGATCTTAGCGTATCACGTATAAAAAAATCTTATAGAATTTCCTATAGAATTTCGTATAGGATATCCTACAGGATTTCCTATAGGAAATCCTATGGAGAATTCAAACATTTTCTATAGGATTTTTCCGGTGGGATTTCCTATAGGATTTCCTAAAGAATTTTTTATAGGATTTCCTATAGAATTCACTATAGGGGTTTCTATAGAAAGTAACACACAAAATTGAGACTCGAAACCAATCAGTCACAAGGGTCAGAATTGGGGTCATAAATCTGATAGGAAATTCTATAGGGAATTCTATAGGAAATCCTATCAGAAAAATCCTATAGGAAATGTTCAAATCCTATAGCATTCTTTCATACGTGATATAGAGCCGAAAAATGATTTAGAGGAAAATTCCAACATGCATTGGAAGTTCTTGTCAGTTGTAATAGTGTCTCAATCTCAGAAGTCAATGTGCAATCTAAAAGAATGTCAAAATTAAGTGAAATTTCCTCACTTTACTCCAGTATTATTTCCGGTTTATTATCAAACAAATGGGAGAATGTGTCAGAACGCTGAGAAGAATATTTTATTTGTTCATTTATATATATCGTCAGATAAGGATGGAATTTAATTAAATTTTTGAAAATCGTACTTTTTAGAGAATTGCTGAAATTGTATTTTGTATGAATTAGAGAAAAAAAGAAAATTTAAAGTAGTAAAGGGAGTTGTTTACAAATTTGATTAATTTCATCTCGAGATTATTAACAAGAATGAATGAAGTTTGTATAAAATATTGCAGGAATAATTAGTGTATTCATTCCGGCTTTATGTTTTATTTATTATCACTCACTCAGTCACAAAATTCATGAGACAAATTGAAGTTTTCACGAGATTGTCACTTAAGCGTGAACTTCGCTTCAGATTATCTGCGCGTAATTACATATTATTCGTAAGTGATATTCCATGTATTTAAAAAAAAATTAAGAAATAAAATATATTTTTGTCATAAGAATTGCAAAAATTGGTATAAAATCCTGCCCAATTATTTCTTGAGTATCCGAATATTTTCAAAAAATGTAAATGTGATGACTTTATTGATCAACTTTTAAAGTTATGCTACCTACTCTGTAGAAGAAAGGATCCACACTGAGCAGTTATTACATAGCTAAATTCGTGGAGATGGGAACATGCTAATATAATAATATAATTACCTCAGAATTATTCTAATTGTGACTTACAGTAAAACACAGCTACTCTTAACGTAATAACATGAAAATCTACATAACATGAAAATAATAGTTTAACACAAATGATATTTTTTTTAAAATTCCGTGTTGATTTTTTAAACATGATGAGTAAATGAATCTTTCTATATTTTTCATATATATGCTTCTAATAGCTTCTTTTCCTTATCAATACTAGTCCTCTGGGCAATGATATGCATCACTATATGGGCAATTTGATTTCAAGTTTAAAAATCTGCCAGATAGAACCACACGTTTCCCTAGAACTTTTCGTCCGGTGGAGATGATTGACGAGATAAAAATACTAGAAGATTATTGAAACGAATGATATTCATTCCAAAATTTATTGCGACCAATCATTCTTTATAGAATCAAATAATGCTAGATAATTAAATTTTAATATCATTCCTGTAATTTTCGGTAATCTTAGAAGCGATCTTAATCTAATTACCTAATTTTCTTGCCTTTTAAAATAAAAAATTCGGACTGAAACCAAAAATCGTACGCAATGGAGATTAGTCAACTTCCAATTTTCTGAAAGAACCAGAGATGCCATGGATCGTTCCATCATTGCTCCCCACATTTGCACATCCAAATCCTTGTTTTAACGCTGAAACTGCGCCTTCCCGTGCCTTTTCAGAGTACAAATGGAGGTGAACGTTCATGTTGTCATGGGAGAGGAGACGTGGGGTGAGCTGGAGCAATTCTTTCCGCCAGAGTTCTGAGAAAAGAGAAGTTTTGTTCTCAATTCCACTTTCATTAGAGTGTTTTGTTAATTATTCGAGTATCTTGAATGAGCAATTTCACGTGAAATCCGAAATGAAAACAATGTTATATTTCCCATTGTCTTGCCGATTTTTTTTTAGAAAGGGTACATGAGATCAAGCTCTCATAAATTTTTTAGAGCGATTCGTTGTTTTCTAGCGAGTCATGATTTTTCAAAAAATTTCACTTTTTTCACTTGAATTTTGATTGATAAAAAGGCGAAATAGTTGAAGTTAATTAGTAGGAATCGAATTTTTGTTTTCCCACATTGAAAGCTAATTGAAACAGCAGGATTGAACTCAATTTATTCAATTTTTAGAACCGTTATGACAAAATCAAATTTTTGTTTCAATCTGCAATTGCTCGACAACTTAATTGTTTTTATCTGAAATTTTAGGGGTAACTTGGGGACATAATTCCCGATATTTTCACCAAAGCATAATAATTATTTTACAGTCGTTCTTCGTTAAAGGAGTAATTATTTTTCGAAAAAAAAATTTTTGGTAGCAATGCGTAAATGACAAAGAACAAAAATTTCATAACTAATAATAGTTGAAAAAATGACTTATTTCAAACCATATTCTACTTCGAAAAATATAACTATCCACCCGATCGTTACGGTGAGGGAGAGGACACTTAAGAATCCTGACTTATTTGATAATCAATTAATTTTAGACGGATTGCCTTTTCTAATCATTTTGGAATAATTAAAGTGTTGGTTTTTTACTTTTTCTATGTTGTTGCCTCACATACAATGTTGAACCAACTTGTGGAGACAACTTTTTCCTCAATAAGTAATTCATAGGAAAACGCAAGCCCAAATGGCAACATCCAAGTGGCTTCGAATGAGGTGGCACTAAAAAAAAAGAATAACTAAGAAACTCACTAAGAAAAAAAAATTACGTTTACCAAGTATATATTTACTAGAAGAAAGTATTTATTTTATCAATTACGTATATCACCAGTCGAGTCATTCCTAGGCAAGTCTGATTCGGTTTCAATTATCACAATCATGTTGCTTTAGAGCTACTTTATACTTTAGAGTATAAGTATGTTATACATGAACTTGGATGAACTCCTCCAATGATTATCTATTTTTCCTAAATTTCTTATGTTCTACAAAGAAGAACTTCGATTATTTTTGAATGATGATAATTATTGAGGTATTTCACTCAACGTCATAACTAATTGTCATAATTGAAACCTAATGAGGATTGCCTGAGAATGACTGGAGAAATACGTTATTTAAAGAAATAAATACTTCTCTGAAGTAAATGGATACTTATAAAATTTTTTAGTCTCAGTGCGGGAATGATAGTCGGTAGAGCCTTAAGTTCCATTTCATTCGAAGCCATTTTGATGTTGCCATGGGGGCCTGCGTTTTCATATGAATTCCCTGTTGAGAAAAAAATTGTTTCCGCAAATTGTTTCAACATTTTATGTGAGGCGACAATATTCAAAAAGTCAAAAACCAACACTTTCTTAATTACAAAACGATTAGAAAATGCACTCCGCCGTAAATTCATTGATTATCTAATAATTCAGGATTCTTAAGTGTCCCTTCCCTCACTGTATCCTTCAGATGCATAGTTATATGTTCTGAAGTGAAACATGGCTTGAAATAAGACACTTTTTCAACTATTACTACTCATAAAATTTTCTTTCTCTGTCATTAGGTATTGTTCCCGGAAAAAATTGAAAAAACCACTCGCTTAACGAAGAACGACTGCAAAATAATTATTGTCCTCTGGTGAAAATATCGGTAATTATGTCCCCAAGTTACCAAAAAAATATCAGATAAAAAAAAAAGTTTTCGAGTAATTGTAGATTGAAACAAAAAATTGATTTTGCTGGAACGGCTCTAAAAATTGAATTAATGGAATTCAATTGTACTCATTGTGAAGCTTTTTCAATTGCCTTCCAATGAATGAAACCAAAAATTGTATTCCTAATGGTTAAATTAAATTCTTTCACCTTTTTCTCAAATAATCAAAATTCAAGTGAAAAAAGTGAAACTATTTGAAAAATCATAACTCGCTGAAAAAACATCGAATCGCTGTACAAATTTAATTAGAGCTTGGTTTTATGTAATCTTTCTAAGAAAACGGGTAGATAATCGGAAACATGAAATTTTTTTCATTTCGGATTTGACGTGGAATTGTTCGAATATGAGTGATTTTATAACGGAGTATGTAACTGAAAAAATTTGCAAAATGAAGAAATTCTGACATATTTTTTCTCATCACAATAACTAGTAGAAGGTATCAGTTTAGGGCCGGTTTGTTCATGTTCCTTTCTCCTCTAAAGGCCTGTTTTGCAAAAGGAGCCCCAAACTCCATGTGTTTAGCAAACGGTCCATTGAAATAACACATGGAGCCCTCTGGCGAAACGGATGATTGGGCTTTTGTTAAACGGGCCTATAGAGCAAAAGGTACATGAATAAACCGGCCCTTAATAACTTATAATTATTAAGTAATTGCTAGACTATTTCAGTTTCCATTTTTTTCACCTCGTCGCATGAAAATTTGGGTTTTTGGGTGAAGAGCAACATGCAGCCACCGGTGCGCTATGGGATAATTCTTCCCGCGGCTCATAGGAAAGACCTGCGTCCTATAAGAATAATACATGAAAATCCATTTTGTTCAAGGGACTCTTGAATTGCGTGATCAATTCTTGTTTTATCGTTAGAATTATTGACAGTATCTGTTAAAATATGTATCATTGACTAAAAGAGACAAAAACAATAGAAAATAATGACTGTGGTTGTCACCAAAGGAGATGAGAAAACACAAATTTTTTGAATTCGGTGTGAAAAAGCTCTCAAATCAAGTTTCGTGTAACTTTTTTGATGGTCTTCACGTCCCTTTTTCGGGTTCCATTCAGCACTCTATCCAACCCTATGCATGTGGCGGTGGATTCTACACTGTACCACATTCGCACTTCTATAGAACATAGGAGTAGCAAAGGAAACCACAGAAAACCCATTCCGGTACAGGCGTGGGCCTCCCGCTTGCCGAAGCCTCACGTTGAAAAATTCAGTTCCATACTTGGAATCGAACAGTTCGATCCCGCAACATTTCGCACACTAGACTTACGTCTACCCCACTCGGTCATCGATGTCGGTAATTTGATGCAACTCTTGCTGAAATCTAGTAGCTATGGTACTTAAATCAAGCCGCATTTCCTCTGGTTTCAAGACACTTTGCTACTGAAATCCAGAATCGCGAATTCTTACAATAAGAATCATTGGGTATTGGAATCAAGAACCCTGGGTTCCTAAAATATAAACGTGAAGGGCCAGAGTGTAAGGGTCAAAAAATGAGTATCAGGAAATGAGCGCCAGCACATGAAGAGAAAAAGTGGGGGTCAAACAATTGTGGTGGGAATATCAGGGACGTAGGAGTCCAGGATATTAGGATCCAAAAAAGGAGAGTTAGATTATAAACGTAAGAAAGTGGAGATCCCAATATCAGGGTCGAAAAGGGAGAGCCAGTATATGGAGTCAAAAAATTGAGGGTCTGACAATGAGAGTTAAGATATAAGGGTCAAAATATAAGGGTCGATGATTCTCAAAATATAAGGGCGATGATTTCCAAAATATAATGATCAGAGCATAAGAGTCATAATATAGGGGTTAGGCAATGAGCATAACAATGTAATGGTTAAAAAGTAAAAGCCAGGAATGAGGGTCAGCGGTTCTTGTTTTAAGAATCCGGGGGTCTTCATTACAGCATCCAAAGATTTTTATTTTAAGAATCCGGGATTCTGGCTTTCAGTACCAAAGTGTTTTGCAACCAGAGGAAATGCGGTTTGATTTAATACCGTAGCTCCCCCTCTACTGGGTTCCCACTTTGTCGTAGTGAGGGGGCTCGGTCGCGGGCGGTGGAGGTCTTAAGGACTACCGCTGCCCGCGGTCGCTAAGAGGAGTCCACCCAATCCATGTGTGTGAGCGGCGTAAGCCATGGCCTCGGCCATACCGTGCCTAAGGATGCGTGGCACAGGGGGAGCTGTGTCGCTAACGGTGCCTCTCAGAAACCTGGGCGACCTCTGAGAGTAGTCTTGGGTGTAACCCACCCGAGACAAGCCAAGCCCTGGGCAATCGCGGCAATGCACCAGGTGAAAACGCTTAACCGCGGTACTCGTGGGACTAAAATGGAAACCAATTTAAAAAATCTTAATATTGAAAAAGCAACTTCGGGTGGGGCCAGCGATGGCGAACACACGAAGTCTGACAAGGCTGACCAGTCTGGTACCGATGTGAATCGGGTCAGACTGAGTGGAGCCGAGAGAAGACGTCGCAAGAGAGCGAAGCTGCATCAAACCTCGGGGGCGATTGCAACCTTGACGGATGCAGCAGCGAAGGTCGATGAGGGAAGGGGGGAGGGGGCTACGAGGAAGGCAATAAAACGCCTTCCATCAGAGCGTACTACGCCAAGCCCCTCAGTCAGACCGAAAGAAAAGAGAATGAGAACGCAGGATCAGGGCACATATGCTCAGAACACTACGAGCTCATTCAAGTTTGCAGTTATGCCGGAGTCATATCCGGATCAGAAACTGGGCACTGAAGAGGTAACGGAGGTGAAGAAACTCCTGAAGAGGGCCATTCTGGCGTTACCTGACGGGGTGAAAGCACCCACCTTCAACGGTGTCTGGGAAAGAGAAGGTGTGGCAATGGTGTGCTGCACTGATGAGGAAACGGGAAATTGGCTGAAAAGCCTTTTCCCCGAAAACAAAATAGCTGGACTTACTGTACGTGTGGTCGCAGCCTCGGAGCTTCCCAAGAAGCACAGGGTTGTACTACACGTGGAAGACCCAGATCTAACCGCTCAAGAAGCACTGTGCTTCCTTGAGAAACAAAATGCAGGACTGCAGGCCAGAGAGTGGGTTGTCGCTCGGGGCAGTGAGAGTAGGGACGCGAAAAGTGCCCACTTCGTTGCGCTGATAGACGACCGATCACTCTCTGTTCTGAAAGCCTGCAACTTCAGACTGCACTGCGGGATTCAAAAAGCTACTGTCAAGCTGCTTGCGAAAGACCGTGGTGAAAGTCAGAAGAAGGGTACATAGAGGTACCAGGAAAGTAGTCATCATTATGGCTGCAACCCGGGTGCACATTGTACAGATAAATTTGCACCACAGCAAAGCAGCCTCGGCTACTCTAGTCAGGCTGTTAGCTGGGATGCAGACTGTCATAGCAATGATCCAGGAACCATGGATAGTGGACAATGCTATTAAGGGCCTCAGTGGTTGTGGCAGAATCTATCACGCAAACACTCAGGAGAAAATTAGATCTTGCATTGTTATTAAAGGACTAGACTCTTTCTTCTGTTCACAGGCTAGTGAGGGAGACCTGGCTGTGGCACAAGTGGATCTGGGCCTGGGACAAGGCGAGGAAATGAGCCTGGTTGTAGGGTCAGTTTACATGCCCTATGACTCGGCTGAACCACCTCCTTCGAAAAAAGTAAAGGACCTATGCAACCATGTGAAGGAAAGGGGACTTGAACTCCTGCTAGGTTGTGATGCCAACTCGCACCATGTAGCATGGGGGAGCACCGGCATTAACGGCAGGGGGGAAAGCCTCCAGGAATTCATAATGGGGGCCGGTCTAAACATCCTTAATAGGGGGTCAGAACCTACCTTCATAGATCGGAGACGACAGGAGGTCATAGATATCACTCTGGGGACGGATAGAGTGGCAGACATGATTGGGGACTGGAGGGTCTCAAAGGACCTCTCAGCGTCCGATCATCAAACCATAAGAATGTCCATCCACACAGTGAAAGAAACGGAATGGGTGAGAAACCCAAGACGAACAAACTGGGGAAATTACCGAGAGAGTCTATCTGACAATCTCAGGGATATCATCCTCAGATTTAACAACAAAAAGCAGCTGGAGGAGGCTTCGATTGCCCTAAACCAGGCCATCATGGACTCCTTCGAGACAAACTGCAAGCTTATCCCGAAAGGGCAGCCCACTGAGACTCCTTGGTGGTCAGAGAGGCTCGGTGGGCTGAGGGGCAAAGCTAGAAAAGCTTTTAACAAAGCTAAGAACATGAGAGCGGGCCCCCGTAAGGAAGACGCATGGAAAACTTACAGAGGCTTGCTCGCAGATTACAACAAGGCAATAAAGGCAGCCAAAGAGGACTGCTGGAGGGCTTTCACAAGCAATGTGGAGAGTCAATCGGAGACCTCTAGGCTGGCAAAAATCCTTGGAACAAACAAGACTCCATATCTAGGGAGCCTACAGGCACCAGATGGCAGCCACACGGAAACCATGGGAGAGACTCTGAAACTCCTAATGAACACCCACTTTCCAGGCTTCATACAGGCCCAGGAGAGAGATAAAGAAACAATGCAAAATCAGAGGGATGTCTACGAAACCCATGATTGGGCATTGGCAAATAAAGTAGTGCAGCCCTGGGGGGTCAAGTGGGCCATCAAAACCTTTGAACCCTTCAAGGCACCGGGACCAGACGGGATCTACCCAGCCCTATTACAGGAAGGGATAGAGACTATCACGGGACCCCTAACCAAGATACTCAGAGCTAGTATAGCCCTGAAACATGTCCCTAGTGTGTGGAATGAGACTAGGATAGTATTCATTCCCAAGCCGGGAAAAACCGGTTATATAAAACCAAAAGACTTCCGTCCTATAAGCCTCACATCCTTCATCCTGAAGACCCTGGAGAGGCTGGTGGATAGACACATCAAGGCCGGGCCCTTGGCTGACAGACCCCTCTCCCCCTGTCAATATGCATACAGAGAGGGAAGATCAACAGATACCGCCTTACATCACCTGGTGGGACTGATTGAGGGACAACTGGCGGTCAAGGGTTTTGCCATAGGCGCCTTTCTGGATATTGAGGGGGCTTTTGATAGCACTTCGAATCCGGCTATAGAAAAAGCCATGGAAGAACGACAGGTGTCCAAGACTATCATTGCTTGGACACAAAACATGCTGAAAAGCAGAAGACTGTCGGCAGGACATGGGAGGGCATGTGTGGAGGGACGTCCGACTAGGGGCTGTCCGCAGGGGGGAGTTCTCTCGCCCCTGCTATGGAACCTGGTTGTAGATGGACTTCTAAATCAACTAAGTGAGGCCGGCTTCCACGTCATCGGTTTCGCCGATGATGTGGCAGTTGTTGTGAAAGGCGGATTTCTGAGGGTGCTAAGGGACCTGATGGCAACAGCCTTCAATATCATTGAGGACTGGTGCAGGGTAACTGGCCTATCGGTAAATCCAGCCAAAACAACAATCCTGGTTTTCACCAGAAATTATAAACTGGAAAAGATCCAACCTCTGAAGCTAAATGGCTCGGAGATTAACTACACCAGCAGAGTGAAATATCTGGGTGTCCTCCTGGATAATAAACTCAGCTGGAAAGAACATATCTGTACTCAGAGAAATAAAGTGTTTGCCTCTATGTGGGCATGCAGGAGAGCTGTGGGCAGGACATGGGGACTCAATCCTAAAATGATGCTCTGGCTCTACCAAATAGTTCTACTTCCGAGACTGTTATACGCTGCGGTCGTCTGGTGGCCGAGGGTGAGTAAGACGGAAACAAGGAACCTGTTGAAAAGCCTACAGGGAACCTTCCTGAGGGCTGCAACAGGAGCCATGAAATCGACACCTACTGAGGCGCTAGAAATAGCACTCAGTATCCCACCCCTCGACCTTAGGGTTGTGAGTTGTGCTACCACAACTGCATATAGACTAAGGTGCCAACTAGAATGGAAGATGACGGGCCAAGGCCATACAAGGCTTAGCCTAATCAATGATCGACCCTTCATAGGTAAGACGGATAGGATTCCTAGGAAGTATCAGATCAGGAAAACTTTCAGAACGAGTATACCACCCAGACAGGAGTGGCTAGACTCGAAACGTAAACCAGGACCAAGAGAGGACTACTGGTTTACGGACGGCTCTGGCTTCAATGAAAGTTTTGGGGCAGGCATCTACCGTCTGAAAGATGGCTTCGGAGAGAGTTTTCCGCTGGGCCATCATTCAACCGTCTTTCAAGCAGAGATGCTGGGCATACTTAAGTGTGCAGAGTATCTGAACGCGAGAGACACAAAAAAGATGAAAATATTCATCTGCAGTGACAGCCAGGCGGCGATACACGCCCTGGAAAAACCCACTACAGAGTCACAGGTGGTGTGGGAATGCATGCAGGCATTGGACACACTGGGTAAAAACAACCGGGTCACCGTAACCTGGGTGCCAGGTCACCATGGGATTCTGGGTAATGAAGAGGCAGATAGGCTGGCCAAGGAGGGTACAGAAAGTGTGCCCTCACACGGCCTGCTTGGCATGCCCTTCGCAGTGGGAAAAACTCTTATTAAAGATCATTTCCAGCGGGATCATGTCAGGCGTTGGGAGAAAGTTGCGACCTGCAGACAAGCGAAACTGCTTATGAGAGGGCAACTAAGAGTTAGGACCAGAAAGCTTCTGGAGTTGCACAGAGGGGATCTGAGGGTAGCAGTAGGGCTCCTTACGGGTCATACAGCTCTCAGAGCTCATCTGTTCAAGATGAAACTTGCAGAACAAGAAGACTGCAGACTGTGCGGAGGCGATAAGGAGGGCGTCATCCACATTTTATGTGAATGCCCCCTATTAGCACTCCGTCGCTATAAAATCTGGGGCCAGGCTTTCCTGAAACCAGAGGACTTACAACAAGCGGCTGTCACCAGCCTTATTAGCCTAGTGAGAAACACAGGGCTGGGGCTGTGTGACTGACCGAAACTAAGGCGGAAGTTACAAAAGATCGTATGATTTAGGTGACTCTGGGCGCTTTAAGTGACCAGCCGCACTTTTTTTTATTCTATTCTAATGCCGTAGCTACTGGATTTTAACAACAGTTACTTAAACCTCGATGTTAATGTTTTTTGCACCGAACTACAGAAATTTGAGTTTTCCCATCGCTTTCGGTGCCTACCTCAGTTATTATTTTCTATTGTTTTTCTCTCTTTTGGTCAATGATACATATTTTAATAGATACTGTGAACGATTTTCCCGGTAAAGCAGAAATCGATCATGCATTTCGAGAGTTGTCCGACCAAAAGTAATTTTTTTATGTGTTATTCTTATGGGAAAAGGCCGCGCAAAGAATTATCTCATAACGTATCGGTGAATCGATGTTCCTCTTCACCCCAAAACGCAACAGTTTTCATGCGGCGAGGTGAAAAAAATGGCTCATGGTTGGAAACTGGAACAGTCTAATAATTACTAGAATTATTCAATTTTTCATGAAAAAATATGCAGAATTGGAATAAATTTTCAAAGTAGATTTTTTGGAAAATAAAGATAAACAAACATTAAATATTGATTCTTTCTCACCAATCATTTCGTCCATGGGCATTGTACCACCATACTCTTTGGGAAGTATACTAGCATCCATCTTACAGTTGAGAGCTTCTTCAAGACTGGTATGAATTTTAATACGACTTTTAATCTTCTCTGAGATCAAAGACATTCCAAAATCCAGGGCGAATTTTAGCGATGGATGTGCGTTTATCACGTGTACTTCTTTGTGTCGCATGGGTACGGTGCGCTAATGGGAAGAAGAGAGCATTTTTCAAGAATTAAAATTAAAGATCAATCGAATTAGAATTTAGATTTTGATTGAACATCGAGTGAATTAGTGAAATCAAATCAATCTACTGAATTTATTTAGAGAATTTATTTCATTGCCGATGGAAAAAATTCAATCTCCATTTAATCAAGAAGCACCGTTGAAGATACTGGTTAAAACGTGATTACGGTGGATACTCCCTAAGATTTCAGCTTTGGGGATACAGTAGGACTCCTATAATTTCGACCCGACGGGGGAACAAATTCCGAGAAATGGAAAATAGTCGGCCGAGCTCTCATTGGCCAAGCGCGCGTAGTGGGGAGGTCAGAGAGAGAACGCATTATGTTGCTCTCTGTCTTCTGCCATCGGGCAATAGTGAGTACTGTGACCTTTCAATATTTAATTAATATTATTTCCTAAAAAGGGGATTTAGGCCGATTAAATAATGAGGACAAATGAGGGGTAAAATTAACTAAATATCTATATTTCTATTAATTTACATATTAGATCGTCGTAAGACGTTAGAAATGCCTTTTACTTGGATCTAGGGTTATGGGTAAGGCCAGGCAATTTTTGTACACGTAAAAAGGGGAGTGACTCTAATGCAGAAAAAGGGGAGAAGCTAGTCGTGTCGAGGGAATACAACTAAATATAAGAAGAATAAGTAAATGGGGAAAAAACAAAGAGTGTAGGCTCACCGTTGGGGGGTATGAAGGGTAATATTGTGGGAACAAGAGGGAAAATGAGGAGGGTAACTCGTACTCACGACGGGACTTCACTCTGGCGAACACGTGGTAGTTCCACCGGCGCCTTGCACTCCTTCAAAATACCAGGGCGTTTTCCTGGAGAGCCTCCTTTCCACCTCGGGGTTTCCTGGGCACCAATACTAGAGCTGGGATGAGCTCGATGTATCAACAATGCTCTTTTTATCCGCCAAATAACTTCCGGGCGAATTTTACTGTATTCACTATTTACTACTTTCGGGGCACGTGGCGACTCACGGGGCAGCTAATGCACGAGTGACGGTCTCTTCTTTTCCTTCGCGATTCATGGGGGTTCGTCAGGTGTCGATGTCCTTCGGGTTTTAATTCGGGGGCAATCGGGGCCAATCAGCACGGGTGAGTGGTGACGATGACCACAATCCAGGGATGTCTCGCAAGGGATTATTGCAGGTGTTGAATATTCGGGGGTCTAGTATGGGGAATTACCAGGAGGCGATGGCTTCTCCAATTGATCGGGTGGGGCCGGAACTGATGTCTTCCTTCGGCTGATGTCTTCGTGATGTCCAGGGGCGGGGGTAGAGGGGCGATGAGGGGAAAAGTCTGGGGAAGGGGTATCCAACGGTGGCGGGATTTACCTTTTATGGGGCAGTGTGTAGTGGGAAAAAATATGTAGAAAAATAATAAAAAATAAATGAATATGCCTCGTCACAGTACATAACCCCAAAGTACATTTTTCCCAATGATTGAGGCTAGTAAAATACTCGTGTAACGTCCCGACGTTGAATTTTATAGATGGCACTATTTATCGGCCATTTTAATCCGCGAGATTTGAATTATTATTTCAAAATGAATATAAAACGTCTGAAATTTGAGAATGCCAAGAAAATGGTCGAATCGAGGACAATGAACAATGGACAAAAAATAATTTGACGAGTGTAAGAAAAACCGTTGCCAGCAATCGTAAATGTCAAGTACTTGAGTTGAGTTCTCAATTTATTACTCTCCAAAATTCGTTACAGAAAGGCTTTTCCTGAAAATTCTAAACTCAGAGAGAAAAATAAACACATCGGTCACAGTCGTAAAATCGTAGTCTCAATTCTGGTATATTTCGAAAGTTTCTCTGTTTCAAGTGGTCCACACGTGTTTGGGTTCTCCTTTGTTCATTGTATTCCTACGCGGAGGGCCTGAGACCTCTCAAGAGGAAAACTGGCGACGTCGCACGCTTTCCCTTCCTCCCTCTTTTCATTTTCCCCTGTTCTTTTTTGGCTCAGCCCTCTTCCCTTTCCTTTGGGCCAGGATTGCGCGCGCAACTTTTTGGTCTAGTGGAGGTGTTTTGAGCCAACCCTTAGATTTAAAACTTAAGTTTAAGTCAGTCCCATCGTGGCTGTTGTTTCGACAACTTTTCAAGCTTCTCTCTTCAAGTAGTTTTTCTCCAGAGTTTTTACGAGTTTTTATAAGTTTATTAGAAGTTCATCCAGTTTGTAGTCCACGTATTAGATTTTTGAGTCAAGAGTTATTTTGAATAAGTGTTAATGTGTTCTCCTAATTATTAGTGTTTGGATTTATTCACAAATAAACCTTCAATCCAATTATCCTATCATTGAACGAGTCAACATCGATGGAGTCCTCATCAGAAGTTTAGCGGCTAACGGATCACACTTCTAAGTTTGGCGCTCAATATTCCAAATGGCGCTACTGTCTTCCTAGTAACTTGGATGGGACGTAACACTCGGGAGCATAGGGCTATGCACCCGGGAGATGATGGGACCATTCCGTAAACGGAAGGAGGGGGGACTGAAAGCGCGAGAGTGGGGATGCAGTGACTCCGTCCGTCGAAAATAGCCAGCTCGAAATTACAGGAGTGCTACTGTATGAATTCTACGAATTTAAGTAATCGGGAGGCCCAAAAAGGATAGGATAGGATCTTTAGTTCGCAAAACTTTCCCTATAAGCCTGCACTCCCTTCACTGCAGCACCCCCATTAGTGATGATTCGTCTATTCTTGTTAATGACGTTATGTGCGTACAGTTGCGCAGCGGCTCAAAAAAATGACGAGCCGCACACGCTGGGTAAAGCACTCATCTCTATACTAACTGGATGGCTGGCCCCCTGAAGTACGGTTGAGGCAAATTGGAAGGTCACTCAGCGCCCCTATTACCGGACAGGGTACTAAGTTTGGCGTTAGTGCGCATACGGGGCTATGATGGTGCGGAGTGGGGCATGTCCATTTTACCATCAGAATTGCGAAATGTCCTTCATATTTTACTATTTTAATACTGTACGAAATTTAAAAAAAAATCGATTTTCTTTATCTCATTGATGTACAATATGTGTTTAGAGATGAAAAGCAAATATGAGGATTGAGGATTGCTCAAATCTATTATATTTCAATAGATTCTTTTGGAAAATGCAAAGAGAATAATGTATCATACTGCTTCGGTATGAAATTTATCAAACACATATTCTGGACACACTTTAGATTTAATTTTTCATATTTTGGAAACCTTTGTAAGAGAAAAAATAACAATATCGGTGAATTAAAGTTTTAAATTGAAATAAATTAATATGCTCCGCATTTTATCAGTTGAAGTTCAGTTGAAGTTGATTCTCTAACGATCTCATTGTTATACTTATAATATAACAATATACACTTGCTCGTGAAGTGATAAGTCTTTGCACTCTCTTTTTCCATTTCGGTAAAAGACACATTGCAACATTGTGTTTGCAGGTTACTTCGTCTCAGAAAACAAATAATAAAATAAATCAAGGGTAATTCATAGATGCTCCCAAAATTACATTGTGGTTATGGAAGAGCGATAAAATTACCATTCCACAATTTTACAAGAACGTTGATGCACGCACATTGAGGTCTCGATTAGTACCCTGTCCGGTAATAGGGGCGTTGAGTGAGCCTTCAATTCGACTTGACTCCGACGTGCTGGGCCCATAAGGACAGACCATCCAGTTAGTATAGAGATCAGTGGTCAGAGCCTAAATGTCCTCATCCACGTGAGTACCCGCATTTTCTACACAAAAGGGCAAAGCACCACTTTGAAGTTCACACACAGCAATGTGCACTTGCGACTTTGTCCACCTCCAGTTGTCAACATGAAAGATTGTCACATCACTGAAAGTATACATGCATCATTGCCACATTGTTGAAGTACACAAAAAAATTCACCCAATTGAATCCGCACAAAAGTATTGCACATATACCATTATCAACCTTTTGAAATTATACATGCATTCAATTTCGCAGAGCTTTCTAACACATGGAAATCGACACGCTCATCAACCGCACAATCAATATAGAATAGATAATCATATCTACATATTGCGCATTTTAAATTCCACAATGTGTAGATTGAACAACACACCGATTTTTTTTTTTTTATAAAACTGCACATCTAAAACATAGGGATGTCAATTTTCTTAATGAAATTCCACACGTTTTTAGTGGGTTGTTGAAAAAACACAATGAGGAATTCGAAATATACCATATATAGCTATGATTCCTTATTCTATAATGCGGAGAAAGAAGATATCCCTACATTCAATTATTTATCCCCGAAAAGATTAGGAATGACCATTGTATTGTGTGAAAATACTTGTGAAAAATTAATTCTTGATGCGAATACCTGAATAAATTGCTACTTAATCTGAACTTTTCCGGATTAATTAGAACAATTGGTTTCTGCCGTTCGTAACATTTTCTTTTCCAGTCCAAACCCTCAACTTCCTTCCCATTCCTCTGGATGAACCATGAGAGACAACCGGACCGTTCGGACCTTATTAGGGAGAAGAATTTTGCTTCAGGATCAGTCAAACTATTTCGAGTCAAACCTTCTCTCTTTCTATTATTTTCCGTCTGCGTTTTTGGAAGAGGGGTTCAACCAAGCTTGGCCCAATATGTTGGGGTCAAGAGGGGGTGGAGGAGGGGGGAGGGTAAATAGGATGATAGGGTGAAAGGGAGCGATGAAAAGCATCACTATCAAGCATGTCGCGAAATTTTTTTTTACCACGCCATCCCATTTTACCCCACTATCTTACTCACTCACGATTCGATTAACCGGACTAACCCATTTTACCCCTCTCTCCAATTCACCTCGGTATTCCATTTTACCCCACTGTCTTAGTGACCCGCTGTCCTGTCAAGCATGCGCCGAAATTTTTTTTTACCACGCTATCCCATTTTATCCCACTATCTCACTCACTCACCATTCGATTAACCGGACTATCCCATTTTACCCCTCTCTC